AAGGGTTGTTGTTGAATCTCACCGAATAGCAAGCAAAGATGAGACCTTTTTATTGAAGGGAATATTCCCACGGTTAGGTACACTAATTAAGACGTATACGCGCGCGAAATTTGACAAGATTCGTAATTGGATAAAAATACTGTAACTAATCTTTTGGATACGTGATAAATAGATCAGCAAAAAGTATTGGAAGCGTCAATTTGATTAACAAGCTGTGGTCAAGGTGGCAAAGTAAAACACTTAAAAAGTGTAAATGAAACCCAACATTCGTTATACTCGATTGATGAATGATTTGTTGTAATAAAAATTCACTTGGTCTATGAAAAACTGAAGGTACAGTTAGGTAGGATATATATAATCGTCGTAATGATTCATGTTTTCTTACTTTAGATCCATTCTGATAATGGTACCTAGTAGAGTACCAAAATTTAAAAAAAGGTCCTTCCCAACCCTGCAAGGACTTTAAAGATCTTACGATATCTCTCATAAATCGAATTTTGGTTACGAATACGAATCAAAAGAATCAATTTCGAACGAGAAGGATATTATAGCCTTAGTTTAATATGCCAGCAGTAAACCCCAAAAGTAATTTGAATAACGCAGGATAAAATATTTCTAAAAAAAAAAAAAATATTTCTCCTAAAATTCCACCTCCGTATAACTTACCCCTAAGAGAGGGTGCGAATAGATCTAATATCGACAATAGTTGGTATATGGGGATGTTTGAACACGAGAAGCTTTTTTGGTATATTCACTGTTACGGGGATGTTTTTATCGTATTCGGCAAAAATTTCCAATTTCGCTGATATTTACTCGTAGTTCTCTGTAGTAATTGCTAAGGATCGTTACAGAAATATAATGGAGAATTTCCTTAACGAAATTTTCCAGAGGTTGTGGGTTTCTGGACGTCGATTTTCGAATGTGCGTTTGAACCGTTAATGTGTTAATATGTGGATGAACTTTCCGTAGTGAATGCACTGGGAGCCAATAATTTTCGATGGCAGAAACACGGGGGGTGGATATTATGGATAGTGACTGAGGTTAAATTTTCAATTTCAGTGGTGAAATTTCGGAAGCAAATTCCCAGGGTTACCAGCTAACTCAAATTGCCGGGGCGAATATTCCTTAATGAAATATATTCCATGGGAGAATACTCTGTAGATTCCAGGGTATATATATGTAAAGGGAAGCTACCTGGAGATGAATCTTACCCGGGCACCTATTCCAGAGCCTATTTTTCCGGAACCAATTCCTCCTGAGTAACCGATAGGATCATGTAAAGCCGCTTAAAAAAGCATTGCGTAAAAATAACGTTTGGAGCTATTCCGTTGTACATTTTCAATCCATGGTTTTCAAAGGCCCTAAGCGTTAACCCTTTGTATTGCATTGATTCTTTTTTACTGGGTTTGATTATATCTTGTTAGAACTATAGATAATGTGCATCATGGTTGCATATAAAGAGGTTGAACCCCCCCCCCCCCTTCTTTGAATTAAAATTTTGATTCTTTACAAATTTTTTAATTTAATTGTTTTTTATTCTTTAGCAAAATTGACCATCAAGCTTCTAACACAGGCTTTACGAATACTTAGTTACTGAAAGTTGGCCCTTTTCAATTTTCATGAAACTTGATTTCAAGACTTGGTCTTTTTTTAATTACTTGCTTGCTTGACCATAAATTGTCGAATATATTGATGACAAATTTAAATAATGAGCTAGTTTCAACTTACACTTCCTTTTCAAATTTTTTGTTTGTAATTTACACTAGGAATTTCGTGACCACGATCTCTGTGAATTAACCTTGACTTAATTTTAAAACTAATCCATAGACGGCAAACTTTTGTATATAAAACACATAATGCACACAAAATAAATTTTCCTCCACTTAGAAATTTTCTTTATTGAAATCAAAGACAACTTTAAATGCATTTTTTTCAATGAGTTGTTTGTAGTTTTTTACAAAAGTTGAAGATTTTTTTCAAGGTTCATAATTCGGAAACAAAAGCCAATATGAATAAATTTACTTTAAAAAGGTGTCAGCTTTGGCTAGTTTTATAACTCCTATTGCGTTGTCCACTTTGAGTAGAAACACCCTGTAGTTTAAGTGCCAAATTCCTGGGCTGTGTAGTGGACAGAGGCGTTAACTTTAAAGAACATGCGTGACTATTAATAAAAAACTCGGTAAATGACTTTTTCTCTTACGTAGACTTGTGAATAACGTCTCTTCTTAAGTACCGGGTGATCGAAAAATATTGCGGACAGTTTGAATTTCCCGCAATACTAAACATTTATGAAGTTGGTAACATACCATATGTCATTTTTGTAACAGCAGTGGTGGATCAATTAAATCACTAATGCATAAATAAACTACCTTCTAAACATGTTTGCCAATTCATTAAGTGAAAAACATTAAAAACTTAAAGCGCCCAATTTTAACTGTCTGCAGTTCTTTTTGATCACCCGATATTCAAAGTTACACACTTAGCACAAGGGTCGCGACGGAACAATGTTGCTAATGTGGACATGCCTTGACAAAAGATTTACTAAGAAAAAATTATTACAATATCAAGGATTTTTTTTACGATCCGACACACCTGAAAATAAATAATTAACAATAATAATTTTCGTTGCTAATCTTATAATTTATTTATTACTAAGCTAAAAATATTTTCGGGTGCGCTTTTTACAAAATTTCAAAAAGAATTAATTATTTAAAGCTTGGGTCCTTTCACCCGACCTTTTAAAATAAAACGAAACTCATTAATTCAGTTATTTTAATCAGCAGGCAGGTAGGGAATTCGGAAAACATAAAAACATAATTTGTATAGGCTCCCCAGGAGAGAATGCTGGTGAAAGAACGCTTGATGCCGGTCCACAATCATATGTTTTTCATAGTTGGCATTCTTTCCTGGTGACCATTTTAATTTATTATTGATCTTCGTATAATCAAGTAGCACACTGCGACAAAACTCCCTTTATGAAACTGTGACGGTTCCATTCTAGTAAAAATGATCTTTTGGTTCATGAAAATGCATTTTTTGTACGAAGAAACAATAGTCTATTACACAGTTGTCCCAAACTCCGATATGAGGTTCGCTATACTATAGGGACCGTGTTTTTTGATTTTTCAAGAAGTCCAAATAAATTAAAAAAAAAACCTGTTTAGCTGTATTTAAATTTTTGATGTTGAAGGACAGGTTTTTTTCGATTTATTCGAAAACCTCGCGTTTTAGAGGGTAACGAAATGGTACATTTAGAGATTTGATAAAAGCAGGACTTTTTTAAAGCACTTTTCTCAAAAAAAAAGGTCGATTGTAAGTATAGGTAGTGAACAAACCGCAAGACATTAGGAAATATTTTTTATTGCAGCCTTGTCTGCTGAATATAAAAAGGGGGGGTCTGCGACTATTTCAGAACAACAAAATTTGACCACGCCGCTTTCTTGACTAATTGCGTTTACTTAATAATTATTGCAAAACGCATAACTTTGCAGCACCCCATGTACCAATCTTATTCTTGGACCAATTTTAATTGTATAACCGATGGAATCGGAACGGAAATAAGTGACCTCGTTTTTTAGGAAAAGAATTTGTTGATTACGATTGACATAGACAAAGCGCGAACCGCGTGCGATTTTTTTTTTACTAACAAAATCACATGGAGTTTCCGTTTGATACCGCAAGTCGGAGATGCTATCGAAGTAGGTTTTTCTACACTGAAAGCGGTTGCTCTTGTCATTTGGACTTTTTTTAAAAACAGATCGATAAATTCTAGGTTGAATTGCAAAACACTAAGGACTTCATTTCTTGCCACCGCGTTTTTTAGGTAAAGCGCAGATTTCTCAGACGGTGTTAAGAAAACATTGTACCTAATTGACTGGTTATATTGGTGGCAAAGGTGAAGCACGTATGTAAATGTGATTACAGTTCACATAAAGCTGTGTCTTTAATTACACAAAATACCACTTTTATCGCTATAAACCATGACAGTCAAATTCTAAACGTTCATCGTCACTAACGTGCACCATTAGATGTTGAATCTGTCATTTAATTTAGCGAAGAGTCAAGAGGTTACCTTCACAAGTACTTTATGCTAATTTCTTTATTGTTGATATAAATCATTGCCAAATCTTTCCTGGACGTGGATTAATAACAATATATGCAAATTTAGATGCAGTTGCATACTTATTAGAAATGACATCATTATGGTAAATTTTTGATTTGACAATTTATTAGTAATTTTTAATTCGAAAAGCTACATGATGTAATCTTCTATGAAAAAGGCGGAATCTTTTAATACCAAAAACATCAATTACCTTAGCTTGTGAAGCGGTGTGTCCAATAAATTTGCCGGGAATCTTCGCTGAGGGGTATTAATTTTACTCATAAAGCAGTTTCTCATCATAGTTTGATCGTGATATTAAGATAGCCAGAAATATAATTTATGAGTTATAGTGACATGTGAAGATGTATACAAGTTCTCGACATCAAAATAAGTAATGGTCGATTCATATCGTCATTTACATTTAAAGAAACGGGCTTACATGCACAATGCAGACGTCTCCAAAAAGGGATTATCTAATATTGCTTAACATTAAGGCTGATGGTATCATAATCAAACTTAACCTACATTCGCGTAGAAAAAGAAGTCGCTGTAATTACCAACCCATGCGTGGATGCACCCACTGAGTACCTTCCTATATTTGGTCTCTCTAACGTCAAAAATGTCAATACCTTTGATATTAGAGTACAAAGAATTTCAAATTAGAAACCGACGCGATGATTTTTTATACACACAAAAATGTCTAATTATAGCGCATTCTCTAATAGAGAACGTGATACCGCAACCTTTTGTCTATTAAACCAAAATTACTATCGATGCTGCTTTTTAATTTCCTCCTCCTCTTAAATTACAGGGTTCAGTGGGAACACAATTTTTTTTTGTCGAATGAATTTCTAGCGCATTTTCTCCGTTACTAATTCGAGTCTTTCTTCTTTTGCAGATTTGGGAAACGCGCCCGGCGGGATAAAGGTAAGTGGTTACGTGACCTTTAACGTATTCGAATTGGAAGTGTTTACTTTGCGAGGTATTCTGTTCGTAATGAGTAAAGGAGGATGCTTAAAATTCCTGGACTGATTGCGTTATTTGCGGTTAGGCTAATTGAAAAAAAATATTGGCAATGCGAAGAAACTAAACGCCAACACGATTATCTACTTCTATAACTTTCTATATAAGTAATGTGCAATATGCAAAGATGAATATTAGCTTGCTTGATGGGTGTAGTTGCCGTATTTGTCATATTTGAGTGTTCGTTAATGTACTGTTCAGACAGATCATATTATGGCACATGCTGTTCATTGTAAAAAATTTACGGTACCATTGGAAAGAAAAGCAATATCCACTATTAAAAATTACCTATTTACCACTAATAACCACAGACAGTAGTAATTAGCTTTACTAAAGGATTGGATCAAATACCAATTTAGATTTTCAAAGATTATGATTGGTCACAATACTTTATCTAGTTAGTCTTGAAAATGTCGCCTTCCGTCGGGTTCCGCATTTTTGCCACCACTATGTACTTCCAGTTCCTTGACACTACGTCCTCTCCATCACCCTCGTGTTAACTTTCAAGAAAGAATCATCGAACCTTTGTTTCAAGCCCCCCGGTGCCAGGTTTGCGGTTCGAATTTGATGAGGCCATTGCAGGGATGTGGCCTGTAGAATCCATAATTTCAAAGAGTTCCAAGATGGGGCCACTAAATCAAAAGTTACAGCCCTGAATTTTTTGTCGAAATTGGTTTTTTGCCCATAACTTTTGATTGAGGAGTCTGATCGAAAAAGTACGAATTCATTTGGGTTCTACCCTGGGCCATTGGTACTCTCATGTTAAATTTTAAGAAAGGAGAGTAGAATCTTTCTTCTATTCCAACAGAATTCTATAACCCTCAGACCAGAGAGGAGCAAAGGTTCGGTGAGCTTTTCCTCAAAATGATCACGAAAGTGCAGAGGACGACGTTGTTGGAGATCGAGTAGAAGAAAGAGATATTCAATTTCCCTCTGCTCTCTCAAAAATGATCATGAGAGATTCAACTTTAGCATTAAATTGTGCTCTTTATAATGGATATATATTTTCAGAAGACAGGAAACCCTCATTTTGTGTAAAAACGGTGAAGTCCCGATTCTATCAAAAACAAAAAAATATTTTTATCCAAAATCGTCCTGAAACCTTCATTTTCATGCCTAGTTTCTGTCAGGAAGTTTTAGTTTCCATGACAGAGGCAGAGCAGACTACGTTTCGTGCCGCTTGTCACTTTACCGGCCGCACCGTCACTTTACCGGCCGCATTTTTGACATATCCAAATGTTATAATGACCCCTGTCATCACTGACAGATTGACATTAATCAAAAGTTATATATAAAAATTAAAATTAAAATATGATTTCTGGTAAAATTTAATACAAAACTCGTCAGTAAAATGTCATTATAACTCGGAAATTAAAGTACTCGGCCGGAAAGGGGCTTCGCACTTCAATATATCCTCGCCAGTAATGTATCATTTTTCTGACTTTTATCTAAATAACTATTCCTGAAAAGGTTCTATCCACATACCTACATTTTTGCAAAATAAGAAGTGGAATGTTAAGCTGCAATGCAAAGTATAGCATTCCATTTTAAATAAGGAGGTTGATGAGTAAGAGGTTCGATCATCCTCTTTTGAAAGTTAACATGGGACTGTTGAGAGAGATGTAGTGTTGGCGGTCTGGGGGTGTACTCTTGTACAGTAGAAAAGTATGATTTTGATGATCTTCTCTTGAAAATTCTCATAAGAGTACCGAAAAGGACATAGTGTCGAGGGTATCGGGGTAGTAGCAGAAACTGATGTTTGAAGTCAGTAGTGTAGATTGTTCTCCAGATATGACTAACCGACGGTCCTGATGATTCACCCTGTATATGCTATAAGCGGATGTGGGTCGGATCCCATATTTTGCTGATGGTCATTTAAAAAGTATTCTTCAACACAGTACTAGATCTACGTACACGTGGTACAATAGTGGTAAAATACCATACAAATCAATGAAATTCTTTTAGTTGATCCAAAGAAGGAAAAATATGGTAAATAATCCGTAAAAAAGTGAATTTTGGTATAGTTGTCTTATATAGGTGTCTTACATAACAATTTTCTGTAAATGACTCGTAAATGGTGGTTCATACCAAGAAATATTCTTATACTTAATTAATCTACATACAAAATTCTCTATTCTATACGATTTTTCGCTGGGATCCATATTTAATGAGATATGGAGAGAAGAAGATGGATAATAATTTCCAACGAGTGCTGCTTCGAAGCCTCTGGTAGGATGAAGAGTAGTCAGGTCTAACTGCGGAAGGGTTGCCTGAAATTGTAGTACTATGATTCCAGCCCTATACCTGCAATTGATCGCCCAATCAAAACTAGTTGTTGACTTCATTTTCCCCGATCTTTCCGAAAATCAAAAGTAAGCCTAAGATTGAGAAAAACGTCTACAGACCATCGATTTCCACTCCAACTTAAAATTTAGCACCAAGGTGTTGACCTGACTGCACAAAATTCAAACGTAAACCTAAGTTTGGAATATTCAGGAACGCTTCTACCACAACTACAACTCAAAATTTCAAACTCAATCGTTAATTAGTTATTGACCTCAATTTCCTTGATCTTTCCAAAAATCACCAAATCACCAAACATCATCTTCAACTATGGACGCAGTGATGTATTCACCGAATGGAAAGTCACATCAAAAATACCTTGGAGATCCAATCAGGGGGAATTAATGTTTAATAACAAATTCATACTGCTAAGTAACGGATATTGATTAATGACACTTTAAGCTATTAGTAATCGATTAATCACAGTAGTTCCTTAATTGATTTTTCGTGTTCATTTCTTCGGTAATTTCTTCACGTTGTTTAACTTTCTTTCCTTACAAACGATGCAACGCGATGAAAGTGTAACGAACGAGAAACGTATAGAAATCGGCGGTACGTTCTCAGGGGTTTATGGTTTCAGCGCATTAAAAAATTATTATAAATATGTATTTATGTTGGTCGTATATCAGCTTGTGTAATTTAAGGCGATCGTTTATCAAACTTTATTGGTGTGTATTACAGATTAACTTTCAAAGACACCAATTCTAAGCCTTAACGATTAAAAATTTACAAGGTGGCCGTCAAAATTATAATTACACCCATAAATAATACTTTTAACAACAGAAGTACTGTTAATTTGTTATGAACACCGCGTCACAGTCGCTCGCCGCCTCCTAATCTAGCGGAACAATATTTTTCCGAATTTTTTCCGAAGTCATTCATTATTTATCTTCGATCCTTAACAGGTAATTATTTATAATTATCTTGTAGGGGACCTCGTTACAAGAGGACGTCGTCTGTTTAATTATGTTAAGTTAGTCAACATTCAGCGTTTTCACTATGGGGAGCCCTGCGAGATGCAGGGTGGTCGAATTGTTCGGGCAGGTCGCCGCTGCAACGGGATAACGGCATTCGCGTAGGCGCCTCTTTAATTATTGCCAACATTAATTTTTATCATAAAGATTTTTGATAGGTGGATATTGTTGTGCAAATTACGTGCCTCTTTCGGTAATTTATTTCCGAAAATTTGAATGAGTTTTCAATTTAAATTAATTTGGCATGAAAGGTGTCAATATTTTATATCTCGTCGTTTATGTAATTGGGGTAATACAATAATGCCTCAATGATTATGTAAAATTTTTTAGTTTTCTTGATGGCAACTAATTTTGTATATCCCAGATTTCCTCATGTTAGAAAAACTTTCTATACTTGTATTTTCAATTATGCTTGCTTTCTAAATGGATTTACAATCGCGATTGGTAAAAAGCTGTATACTCCGCAATCTCCATTAGATATAAGGCAGAGCTCGTTGAAACAGTGTAGCTCCCAAATGTATATAATATGAGATTGTCTTTCCATTTTTAATTTTTTTTATTTCAAAACGTCTGCTACTTTCTGGACAACCCTCGTATAATTATCTATTTGAGTGCATGTAAAAGTAGATATTAATGCACGAAAAAAAACACTTATTCTAAAATGTTTTCAAACCATTTTCCCTTGGAAAGAGCTTCTTGGGGAGGGGTTTTTGAGAGCATTTGTCATTTGGATTTTCCACTTCAAAATTTTTGGATGGATATTTCGATGGCGAATACTTCAGGAACTCAAGTGGGGCAAGTATTATACGGGAGCGAATATTTGCAGAGCCGAATTTCCCTAGATGAATTTTTCGTTATGAATAATTTATTGGTCTATTACACTAGAGGTAAATCTTCCGAGAATTAAAAGCAAATATAGTACTCACCCTCCGAGGCAGAATAATTTTCTAAGGCGAATTTCTGTGAATGAATTTGCCGATGCAAAAATTCATTGGGGCATTAGGGGCAAATCTTCCGAGATTAAGCATCGCAAATTCCTTGGGCGAATACAAAAGGGAAATTGTCAGGGACGAATATCCTTTTGCTTTGACAAATATTTCGGGGTGCCAGGTAAATTCGCAAAATGACTATTCTAATCAATAAAATTCAGTACCGTAATTTATTCTCACAATATTCTCTCTCTGAAGATAAACTTGCCCGCAAGAATTCGGCACCTTCTAGATATATGCTCCCCTTTCAGAGGGGTATTCGAAGAGTTTTTTAAAGACTATTGGGGGATGAGTTCTGGTTAACCAACTTGGGGCGAGATTTCTCTTCCTTTAATCTTTTGGTCGGCTTTTTAATTAAATGTTCTATGTCGAACCTTATGGGGGCGAATATTTCGAGCGCAAACTATTGTGGATGAAATGTGCTGACCCAAATATTCCCTGGATGAATCTGCGCAGTGGATTGAAATAAAGTATAACGTTAAGTAGGATTTATTTTAAGCTTAAGACTTAAAAAACAACTAAGTACTTTAAAATACCCATAAATGTACTCGATCTGAAACACAGAACCCCTCTAATTTGCGTTCTATATTGGAAAATACAGTACGTAAAATAAAATTACACACTAGAAATACAATCAAAGCTATTAACACTTATGCCACACCAGTACTTACATACCCTTTTGGGTTGATACGTTGCAAAAATACATATATTTAGAACAAATACAAAGAAACACTCGTACACTATTAAGAAAACATCATATATTTCTACCTCACGCCTCTACTGTACGACTTTAGCTTCCTCGTTCGCAAGGGGAAGGAGGACTTAACATTTGTATCAAACACAAATACACAGTTTGTGACAATACTTTTATAACAAATCAGACACTTCAGTCCTATACACAACGCAGTAAGATGTGCAGACAAATCTTACAGGCTTCTTAACCTACAGGAAACTAATATACTTCCACCTACATCAAAACTTACATATACATACATAGAAAATATGATACCTATATGTGAACCAAAAGCCTTTACAAGGACGATTTCCACAAGAAGTTAACCAGGATTGTGTTGCTCCTATAGCAACGCACACATGGTTACACCTAAATTATATCTTCCCAAAGACTAAAGGTTTTATGTTAGCAATACAAGACCAGATCATTAACACACGCAATTGAAAAACACCGACACATGATTCTTGTCGACCCTGTTCACAAACATTGGAAACAATCCAACACATAGTATTGTCATGTCCACGACTTACACAAACAAAATACAAACATCGACACGATGAGGCAGCAGGAATTAGCTCTTAACATAATCTCACAACAGATTACACATATCATACTTTAAATATACTCCACAGATAATACTTGAAAACAACATACATAAATTATATTGAGATATCACACTACTCACAGACAAAACTATTCACAATAACGTCAATAACAGACCAGACAATACACTTATAGACAATTCCTTGATTCCTAGAACAGAATGAATGACCAAGGATTCTCTTTTAAACAATGCACTAAAGAAATCTTGTACGAACGCGTTATAAATGTAATTGCAGTATAAAGAATTAATTTAACTTTCATAATATTTGTGTTTACCTACCGTAATTAGAACGATAATGTAACGTTTAAGGTATTAAATGGAAATTAAGCGTACAGTATGCAGTGTACAAGCAGTAAAACTTAATTTGAGAAATTCTCCGCAAATTATCTAATTGCGTAAAGCCACCATATTAATAAGTGAAAATCCTTATTGCAACAGTAACTTTATTACTATACACTCGGTTGATTTTAAATTCCTCGTAATTAAAAAATCTTCAGGGATTACGAAACTTTTTCAAGATCTTAGGTGCCGATTTTTTATATATTACTGGAATCGAAATCGTATCAAATTAGTTAGCATGTTACGCCGAAGCGCTCTTAGTCTAACCTAGAAAAATGCAGATCTCTAATTTACGCATCCATACGTTGATTATAACTAAAAATATGCAAATGTCGGTTTCACTTATTAACCCCGAGGCTCGCGGCGCATCGGGAAATCTACATCCGTAGCATAAACTAGTAGGCCAATGATAATTTCGGCACGCTTTCCTTTTTACTTATAAACCACAAAAATTCCCAGACGAATCAATAATCGTCGTTTTTCTCGTGATCTGCAAAATGGAAATCTCGACTGACACAAACATCAATCCGCGGTTAACATTATCGAGACAATCTAAACGAGAAAACGTTCGCAAGCACTTGACAAGAAAATGTTGCCGCAAAAATTATTAGATTTATATTATAGCGTAATGTCTTTGAAAATTAGCCTTTGTTCGTTCGCTTTTCGTGCGTAAGCGTTTTTTTCGGCTGCATTAATTAAGTGCTCACTCAACGCTGACCGTTGTCAATTTTGGCAAATCATCACTGCACAAAGAAACCATTAGAGGTTTTGTAATATTTGCTAAGCCGCTAAATTGGAGATAAAGGGAATTAAGAGTTGCGTAACGTCTGGATTGTTGTGTGTCCAAGACACTCCAAGCCCAGTTTCAATTTAACTGTTGATTAGTACAATGGATAGGTCTAGATCAATAACTTTGATTGTACAAGGTACGTTAATTAAAATTGAGTCTGGAAATAGGTGTCTAATGTCCTAATGCCATGCGAATTAAACGGAGAAAAATCCAAAGAATTTTTCTGCATAAACGCCTAGCTGCCCATGGTATATACAATACATTCCCTTTTTAGCGAAGCAGGGTATATTTTACGTATTTCAAAGATTACAGGAAATTATGCGTTATATATAATTAAATAAAATCGTAAGTTAAAGTGGTAGATCGGTACTTGAATACAAAACGTGTTGGGTGAGATTGCTTGAAGGCGGATTAACAATATGCTGTGCTTTTGGTTACGGAATTCTTTGTCAACATTTTAAATTATTTGGATACGGTTCTCTGAAAAAAGGCATGCAACATTTCATTCACTTTCATCTGATAACTTCGTGTCCTTTCCTTTCCGGAGTACCTACCACAAGGATCAAATGTTAGTTCGGTTCTTAACGTGGAAGGGATCCAGCCGTAACAGTTTCTCTTTAAATTATTTAAAATTTCGTGTGTAATTCCGAATGAAAACACCCAAGCTCTTCTTCTGAATTCATTCCTAGCTATCCTCACCAAAAGCTGTTACAGTAACCGATAGGGCAATAGGTATTGTGACCTAATTAAAAGATAATAGATTAAACGGTTTTTTCTCCAAACGACATTAGACCCCTTCGGTCATATTTTGTCTATAGATCTAATCCTTGAACTGATGTGACTGATGACAAAAGGGTTGTTTTTTACAGAGGAAAGTGTTGCCCTAAACACGTTGACGATTTTTAGGGGAATTCTTGGAAAGAAAAAAAATTTTCCTTAAGCGATGGTTTTGTCCGTCTGTCCATCTGTTCCTATTCGAACTCGAGAAAAGAGACAGCGATCGATTTCTACAAGTTCAAAGATCAGTGCTATTGAATATGAGTCTGGTTTCCAAATGCGGGCTGAGCGGCAAAAATTACGGAAAAGCATATTTTACAGTCTCAATATCAAGTGATAGGGTGAACGCACTG